CCCCAGGGACAGTCACCCTTGGAACAGTCACCTTTGGGACAGTCACCCCAGGGACAGCCACCCTGAGAGCAACCACCCCAGGGACAGCCACCCCAGGGACAGACACCCTGGGAACAATCATCCCAGGGACAGACACCCTTGGGACAGTCACCCCGGGGACAGTCACCCCAGAGACAGACACCCCAGGGACAGACACCCCAGGGACAGACACCCTGGGAACAATCATCCCAGGGACAGACACCCTTGGGACAGTCACCCCGGGGACAGTCACCCCAGAGACAGTCACCCCAGGGACAGCCACCCTTGGGACAGCCACCCTTGGGACAGCCACCTCGGGGACAACCACCCTAGGGACAGTCACCCCAGGGACAGCCACCCTTGGGACAGTCACCCTGGGGACAGTCACCCCAGAGACAGTCACCCCAGGGACAGCCACCCTTGGAACAGCCACCCTTGCTACAGCCAACCTGTTGTCACCGTGGTGCTGACTGGGTTTTTTTAAGCAGGAATTTCTGTGCTTTCCAGTGCTTGGAAATAAACACATGATGTGCCAATCCTGCACCTCACCAACAGGTCTCTGCAGTGGGAACCAGTTGCAAATGGCTATGGCAGAGGCAAAACCCAGAAGTTCTAGCAGTTGCCAAAAGTGTCTTTAAGTAGAAACTGTCCTGCTCTGTCAGTTTCCTCAGTGATCTCAAAGAAAATGCAAGGAAAAACAATAGAATAAGAATGGAAGGATACAGAAACAATGGCTGAGGGGGGGGGAAAAGGTAAAATTCACCTAACTCTGAAAATAATTCAGTCACAGCCAATGTCACTTGGCTGTGTTCCCCATTATCACTGTCCTGTGTTCCCTATTTGTCACAGCCAAGTGACAAATGGGGAACACAGGACTCACTACAACCTATGTGTTCCCTCAGCAGGAGCGTGAGGAGCACAGGACTAAAACACTTTTGCCACTGCTAGTGTTAGAAATGGCTCTGACTCTCAGGGCAAACCATTCAACTCCCTAGAATCCCAAAGGGCAACCCCTAAGTGTGATTGTCAGGTTAACAGTCACAGTTACTCTGCCCTTGTGAGACCTCAACTGGAAACTCAGAAGGGAGATGGGGAGTGACTTGACATATGCAGGCAATGACAGGACAAGGGGGAACAGTTTTAAACTTAAAGAGATTTAGATTAGATGTTAGGAACAAATTAGGAACTCAGAGGGTGCTGAGGCACTGGCACAGGTTGGCCAGAGAAGCTGTGGCTGCTCCATCCCTGGGAGTGTTCAGGCCAGACTGGATGTGGCTTGGAGCACCCTGGGCTGGGGGAAAGTGTCCCTGCCCATGGCAGGGGGTGGAATGGGTGAGCTTTAGGGTACTTCCAACGCACACTAGTGTGAGATTCTATGATTCTGTGAACAAATAATGATTCTCTGAGGGAAAGGTAAAAACTCGTTCACCTACTTAAAGCTGGTGTGGTCCTGAAATTGCTGGGAAAGAGGCTAATGTGGCTTGCAGACACAAGAGTGGGGAGCAGCCTGCAGCCCCTGGGAGCACAGGGTGCCAGCCTGGCCTGTTTGGCAGCACTCAGCTCCCTGCAGCAGCTCTGTGTGCTGCACTCACTCCCAGGCTTGCTCAGAGACCTTTTTCTGACACATCCATGCACAATTCACATTGCTGAACTGTGATCATTGCCCGTGGCAACTTCTTTATGGTACCTTTTGTTCTTACAGACCTATTGTTGTGGAGTTTACATAGTGTTTTGATGTGTAAAGCTAACTGAAGGCCAATGACAAGAATCTGAGACATTTCAATGAACCTAGAGCAAGGCAGAAGGAGAGGAGGTTCTTTGTACAGTCGAACTGATACTGTACTAAGAGCTTTTTACAGGCTGTTGGGCTAGATAGGTCAGGCATGTGAATCACACTGGGTGCTATATTTACCCTGGCAGTGCCCCTGTCCCAGGGCCATACATAGCCATTCTCACCCAGGACCAGCAGCCTCAACAAACCAATGCTCTGTGATATTGCTCAAGGATCTTAATTAAACCTGTGAGACAAAGCTTTGCCAAAACACAACAGAATGTTTTATCTGTGCCTGGAACCTTCATAGCCAGAGTAAGTGATTATACTTTATCTCTTTGAACAGAAAAGACTTCTGAGTTTTAGGTGAAATTTGGATTAAAAGCTTTTTTTCTCTCTTTTCCTAGGGTAGCAATGTAATTAAAAGTGCAGTGTTATATTTTTGCTAATGCTTTGCCTCAAGGCAATACATGTACTAAAATTCTATTATGCTTTTGCTAACATACAGTAATTTTAAATGAAAGGAATCCAGATTTGCCTAGACCAGGCAAAGATGAGGAAAAACAGACAAACAAACAATATTACCCTGTTCATAAAATACACCACTGATTGGCAAACAACCTTCCTAGTGCTTCAAGCCTTTGGCATGTTGATCTCTGGGATTTCTATGCATGAGCACATTGCTTTTTTAGATAAGAAAATGTCTGTGTGTTAGGATCACTCTCCTCTCATATGGTCTTTTGTTTCCCACAGAGATGAGTATTCTTTCTGGACTTGGTCTACTGTTGCTTCTCCTAGGGCTCAGTGGGATTATTTATATCTACCAAACAGTCAGGTGGTTCCTGTCCAAGTCAGCAGTGCAGAACAAGGTGGTGGTGATCACAGATGCTGTCTCTGGACTAGGCAAGGGTGAGTTGCCTCGTTTCTTCTTAGTGTCAGAGGTCAGAAACAGCCAGAGAAACACCCTCTGGGTGATAAAACCTGCACATATTACCTTGTATATCTATATACATATACACGTGTGTGTGTCTTTGTGTGTGTGTATAACTGCCTGGATGAAGCAGAAGTTAAGAAAGATTTTTATAAACAAACCTCATGATTTTGAAATGTACGTTTTTAGGCTCAGCCACAGGAGCCGTTGGTAAACTTCTTGGGACTGCAGAGCTTTGTGTTTACTTAATTCAATAGGATGAGAGGTTTTATTGAGGGGTATTTTTAGCATGTTGCTACTGTGAGATCTGATTGCATAGGCTGTCACTGCAGGGTAGCTGCAAATCACATAAACAGGTGTCATCTTCCTCTTCACATGTTCCTTTTCAGCCCTTAAGGACTGCAGCACTTCCTGCTCCCTGTAAACACCACTGCTCACCCTTCTCTCTGTATCTCTGCCCCCTCTGTCACCCCACACAGCCAGAGGGGTGTAACTAGCACCTCTGCTGTTCTTCCCTTGACACCCTCCAGACTTCCAACTGGTCATGTGTGATGATGACTTGAGAGGGCAGAAGGAAAGGGTTTGCAATCATTTAGCTAAGCTGATTACCTGGGAGGCCACAAAGATGAGCAGAGAGCTCTGGGGACAGGTTGAGAGAGCTGGGTGTGTTCAGCCTGGAGAAGAGAAGGTTCTGGGGAGACCCTAGAGCCACTTCCAGTGCCTAAAGGAGCTCCAAGAGAGTTGAAGAGGGACTTGGGACAAGGGCCTGGAGGGACAGGACAAGGGGGAATGGATTCACATTGACAGAGAGTAGGTTTAGATTGGATATTAGGAATAAACTCTTCCCTGTGAGGTGCTGAGGCACTGGCACAGGTTGCCCAGAGCAGCTGTGGCTGCTCCATCCCTGGGAGTGTTCCAGGCCAGGTTGGATGGGGCTTGGAGCAACCTGGGCTAGTGGAAGGTGTCCCTGCCCAGGGCAGGGGTGGAACGAGATGGTCTTTAAGGTCCCTCCAACCCAACCCAACCCGTTCTATGATTCTATAAGTCTATGATACACTTTTGGCTCCTACTTCCTGCCCTGGAGCTGTTGATTAAAGGTACAGGTTATAGGTTCCTTCTGTCCAGTCCTGCATTAGGCATCACCTGAGGGGCAGTAGATGCAAGTTCCTGATAAAGCCAACACACCTTGAGGTTGTATTTTGGCATTTGTAGTGAAGACTTGCTGTCTGTTGAAACCTTTGCACTCCCAAGCAGAGAACAGATGGGCAGAGGGAATGCTCCTGCAGGAATATTTCGTAGTGGAATGGAGCAGAGCCCTGCAGCAGGAGCACACACTGTGCTGGCAGGGAGTGCTCTCTGTCAGAGCCAGGTAGGACAAGGTGTGAGATCATTCTGGGCTCCACATCCCACCTGGTCTTTCCCTGACACAGTTCAGCTTCAGTTGAAGATGAAATTAATGTGCATTTTCTCAGGTTGGTTATATTTCAGCGGGATTTTTGAGGGAGAGGCAAGATTTAGAGTGCTCCCACTGAGATTGGCTATGTCATAGAGTTATAGGATGTCTGGAGGTTTCTAGACAGAAATAGAGCAGAAATATCAGCAGTGCTAGATCTGTCTGGGTGTGGCTTTCAAGCCAAGTCTTGGAATCCTCCAAGAATCAAGAACATTCATTGACCATTTTTCCAGCTGTTTTGTTCCAGTACTGCATGAGCCCTGAAGGAGATTTTCCTACCTTCAGTTTCGTTTTTTTTCCTTTTTTTTTTTTCTTTTTTTCCCCCAGTGACTAGCTATTGCCTTGAGGCTAGAAGGGCAATTGTGTGTGTGTATGTGATGGCCACTTGTCCAGAGCTGTAAAGTACCAGCTGTGTGACCAGCTGCTGTGTGTGTGAGCTCTTAGGAAACAGCCAAATTCCTTTTCATCCATGCCAGAATTTCTGGACTAAAGACAAACATTCATCAAAGTGAAAAAAAAAGAGAAACAAAACTAAGATGATTGAAGATGTTTTCAGTCGTTTATGGTTGTTATTGAAACTTGGTTCCTGTTTCTTCTGAGAGCTCTAACTCTTTCAGAAGAGTCCAGGGAAGTTCTAGAGGAGAACATCATTGGTTTCCCTTTTTCACCTTTATTGTTGTTCACACATTAGTCACTTTTTTTGTTTCCTAAGATTGCCCCAACTGTTGTCTATAGGGAAAAAACCTGATATTGTAGTTGTAGCTCTGGCAAATAATTTCTTGGGCTTTAAATCAAAAATCTTTTTATGCTAGAAAGAAAAGGAAAGTGAAAGATATGCCTAAAATTACTGTTGTAAATAGCCAACAAGAGGGAATAAATAGAAGTTTCCAGCTGCACATGTTTGCAGAACTACCAGTGAGGATCCAGAAGAGCTTCCATACAGATCTTGAGTCTAACACAAGCATTTAGGAGGTCTAAAATGGGTAGATTTGCTTAACTGCATTTCCTGTGGGTATTGAAACCTGAAGGAAATCCTTCTTGGAGACATCAAGCACTGAAATTGTTCTGTTGCCTGTTCAGCAAAGGCCACAGGAGCTGAGACAAACCAAACAGGCTGAAAGGCATTGGAAGATCATGCTGCTTTTCTTCTCATGCTGACTGTGTAACTGTCACACAGGTTTGGTTTAGGGAGAAAACATAAGAGCTCCATGAGATGGTGTGGATGAAGCCTCTCCAGGCAGATAGGAACAGCCTCACACTCCAAGCTCTGGTCCTCATGGGGGATTGCAACCACCCCAAGATCTGTCAGAGGGACAACACAAGGGCACAAGGAACTGTGGGACAAGACATGTGGCCTGTGAACCTCCACTGTAACATGCTCTGTCCCTGCTGTCCCCCTAACCTTGACCCACAAGCTCTGGGTTGGCTCCTCATCCTTCCCCAGGCAGGTCCATAGCGTCCAGCTGGTCACTGGCACAGAGAGCTACATTCCTTTCGTATCTCCCTAGCCTGTCTCTCCTGAAAAGCCTAAACCCTTCTATTCCAACACTGCAGTCCTAGGAGCCATCCCAACTTGTGTCCATGATGCCAATGATCTCACACCCACACAGGTGTCCACACATCTCTACTCCCTCTTGTTTGTCCCCAGAAAGTGTTCAGCACCCTAGTCAGGAAGCCTTCGGGGAACGTAGCTGAACAAGCCTCTGATGACCACTGGGAAGGTTTAGTACTCAGGAGAGAAAGGTCTTGGGATGGATTGCACCTGGAGAGAAGGGTCTGGAGGGGAAAGGCTCTCTCATGGATGCTCCAGCTTTGGGCAGTAAGTTTGCCAGTATTGCTCCTTCTCAAAGTTGTAGGTGAGTTCTGTGTTGCCAAGAGTTTCATGGAGGTAACACACAGAGCTGCTGTTTACTGGGGTTAGTTGGTTTCTTCTTGATTACACAACAGACATGAAGGTTTGCAGATGCAGTTTGTGCTGTAACACCCTCAGCCATGTGTTTTTGTATCTAGCTTTATATATAGCAAGTGAGTCTGTGAAAGATCCTCAGGAAAACTTCCCTAACTCAAACCCATCATACATTACCTGACATAATGTTCCTTTCCCAATTCCTTTTTAATTCAACCCCATTACCAAACAGTGACATTGAGCTGTACCATTAGTTGTGCATTATACCATTCCAGGCAGTTTGAATTCCTTACTCACATAGCTACTCCTACACCTCAATACTTCTCCTACAGGTTATCAAACCCCTTTCAAGCAGAACAAACAAAATCAAACTGTCATGACTGTAATTCTGTCTTTTGGATGTGTTTCTCTCCTAGAATGTTCTCGTGTGTTCCACACAGCAGGAGCAAGGCTCGTGTTGTGTGGCAGGACATGGGAGAAGTTAGAAGCCTTGTATGATGCTTTGATCAGTGTGACAGATCCCAGCACGGTATGTATTCCCAACCTGAGCTAACACATCGCTCAGCTGCTTTTAAATCCAGCAAAATAAGGTGCACAAACCATGATTTGCTATAAATGGTAACTTTGGTGACCCAGGTAATACAGCAAACACAGTCCAGAGAGAAAGAAACAGCTCTGAAGGTCTTCACAGTCAAAATCCTGCTCACATTTGCTTATCCAAGGCAATTTCTGTAGAGCACCTGAGTGCTCCTGCTGTGCTCCTGCATTCTGGATAAGTCACTCAGCTAGAGACCCTCACAGAGGAATTTGCCTGATCATTTGGATGAAAGGGATCCAAAGTGATTCCTTTAATCGCAGGAAAATCATCCGTTTGTCACGCAGTGTGTGCAAGGAGTAGGAGATGGTCTGGAGATTGAATTAACTTTGAGTTTCTCCACTATGTTGGGAGAAGTCCCAGCTAAAAGGGCTTGGGAGCATATGAGTAACACTGTCCTTTCCTCGTGGCCACTGGCTGGGTCACCATGCCAGGAGACTTTCAAGATTGTCCCTTCTCCAGCTCTTTGGCAGGTGTTTCTTTCAGGGGAGATCTTTCCTTCTGTGCTGGCTCATTCCAGGCACAGGTGTTCCTGAAAGCATCACACAACCCACTGTGTGATCAGTGAGCTCACCACACCAACCAACATTTGCATTTTGACCCTTGTTTTTGCAGTGAGCTTTATTCATCTGCACAATCAGCCCCAAAGCACCGTGTTCATGTTAGCCTGCATGGATTCAACTAGGAAGAAATATGGAGTGTGACTAAGGGATCTGCAGTACATTGCTGAAGTAATGTAGTAAGAGAGAATGCCCAAAGTTCATTCCTCTGTCCCACAGCTGATATAATCGATATCTTTGCAGAAGTCATGCAAATGTAAACTCTATGTGGGTAACCTGCAGCTGAACACACCATTTCCTATCTTCTGCCTGTCCTCGTGTAGGTGTAACTTACCTATAGGAGCACTATACTCTAGTCTCTGTGGTCAGCAAAATTCTCTAGAGGGTTGCTCACACAAAGACCATGACTTGGACTGGTAGAAGTCTGTATTCTGTCTCCACTGATTACAAGAGAGACAAAACTCACTAGGAGTTTACTAGTGCATCTTACACTTCCCACAGTGTTCTGCTTCCTCTGAACTTCAGAGTGTGTGAATACCCATTATCATAGAATCATAGAATCCCAGAATGGGTTGGATTGAAAGGATCTTAAAGACCAACCAGTTCCACCCCCTGCCATGGGCAGGGACACCTTGCACCAGCCCAGGCTGCTCCAAGTCCCATCCAATCTGGCCTGGAACACTCCCAGGGATGGAGCAGCCACAGCTGCTCTGGGCAACCTGTGCCAGTGCCTCAGAACCCTCCCAGGGAGGAATTCCTTCCCAGTATCCCATATAACCCTGCTCTGGATCAGTTTGAAGCCTTTCCCTATGTCCTGTCCCTCCAGGCCCTTGTGCCAAGTCCCTCTTTAGCTGTCTTGGAGCCCCTTTAGGCACTGGAAGTACCCCAGAGCCTTCTCTCCTCCAGGCTGGACACCTCCAGCTATCACCCTTCTAGAGTGGGTTAAAATAAAAATCTAAGTTGATGTGAGAATGCTAAAAGCATTTTCTCCAGATTCCAAAATAAATTAATTTACAAGTAACTAGAAATGCAGTTTTTATCTGTCAGGTATCCTTGACATGAGTCTTTTTATCACTAGACTTACGAACCAAAGCTGATACTTCTGGATATCTCAGACATAAACTGTATTCGAGATGTGGCTAAGGAGATCCTGAACTGCTATGGCTGTGTGGATGTCCTGATCAACAATGCCAGTCTGAAAGTGAAAGGAGCAGTGCAGAGCATTTCCCTGGAGCTTGACAGAAAGATAATGGATGCAAACTATTTTGGACCTATAACATTAACCAAAGGTATTTTAATGTGGGGGTTTTCCTGTTGCACTGTTGACAATTAGGTGGGGTAACACTGCAATCAGTTCTGGTTGTGGAATCCAAGTGAAGTCTAGAAAGACACTCAATTTCCAGCCACTTTTGTGCTACTTCTGACTGCAATAGTGTGACAACCTTCATTAAAGTTGTGCTTTCTCCACTTCAGCTCTCACTCCTTCACACTGAATACCTTGAGCTCTTTCACTTATGTGGCTCTTCCTTGTATTTCTCTTCTCCCAGCCCTTCTTCCCAACATGATCTCAAGAAGAACTGGCCAAATTGTTCTCATTAATGGCATCCAAGGCAAAATAGGAATCCCATTTCGTGCAGCTTGTAAGTTCTACACCGTGAAAACAAACATCTCCAGCTGTGTACTCAGAGATCTCAACAGGCCTCTGTGGGCTTTTTGCTTTTAGATGCTGCTTCCAAACATGCTGCTGTAGGGTTTTTTGACTGCCTTAGAGCTGAAATGGAAGAATTTGATATTTCTGTCAGCACTGTGAATCCAACCTTCATCTGCTCCTACCATCGCCCACCAGCACCAGGCAACTGGGAGGCATCGATGTGGAAATGTAAGTGGTGGGGATGAAGATGAGGCCCATAGAGCAGGACAGAGGCTAAAAGGTGAAGAAAGGAGCATAGGAAAAGGAATGGAAGTGACAGGATAAACAGGTATGGGGAGCAAAAGGAAAGAGGTATTGGAGAGCTAAGATGAGGCTGGTGGAAAGAGAAGGAATGTGGAAAGAGACAACATGATGGGAGAAAGTATATACAGCAGGACAGAGGGAATGGAGGTGGAAGAGAGCATGGAACGTCCCAAGGGAGAGTTCCACTGCACTTCAGGTTGCTCCTTCTCTTAGAGGCTGTAAGAACTTTACCTCAAAATTGCAAAAAGATCTTAGGGACATAGTGATAAGGAGAATGCAATAGGTAAGGGATTGAAAGCATAAACCTCAGAGCAACCTGCCAGGAGCTGCAGGGGCTCCAGGGAAGCTGCAGAGGGATCTGTGTTAGGAACTGCAGGGACAGGACAAGGAGCAATGGGAGAAATTGAAAGAGGGAAATTGAGATGAGATCTTAGGCAGAAGTTTTTCCTGTGAGGGTGGGGAGACACTGTCCCAGGTTGCCCGGGGAGGCTGTGGCTGCCCTAACCCTGGCAGTGTTCACAGCCAGGTGGGATGAGCCTTGAGCAACCTGTTCTGGTGGGAGGTGTCCCTGCCCAGGGCAGGGGTTGGGGCTGGGTCATCTCTGAGCTCCATTCCAACCCCTTCACATGCTATGAAACAATGAATGTGTAGGAATTGAACTGATTTGAGTGATGCACTAGTTGTGTCTCTGTTCACCACCATCCCTCAGGGTCTGTCTGTCTGTAGCTCTCACTCCTCTCTGCTTTCCAGTCTTTTTCAGGAAGGTGGCCTATGGTGTGCACCCAGTGGAGGTGGCAGAGGAAGTCCTGCACACAGTGATCAGGAAGAAGCAGGAGGTTCTCATGGCCAACCCCATCCCCAGAGCAGCAGTTTACATTCGAACCTTCTTCCCTGAGCTGTTTTTTGCCATTGTTGCCTCAGGGATTAGGGAAAAGCTGAAGACAGAAGAGGAAAATTGACTTTGTTCAGTTCTTTTCCCTGTTTTTCACCTGAAAACATTTATGTTTCAAATGTCAACAATTCCTGC